GACACCCCCTTCGTCGGCATCCTGGGGCGTCACCTTCCCTGGTGCGGGGTCGTTCTGCTCCGTTTCGCAACCGCGTCCTACCGGGATATTGTGTTCATGGTCACCGTGCTGATCAGACAGTTCCTACGATCTATTGGACGCTGAACCTGCTCCTGAGCCGGGCGTTGCCCCGTATTGTGTTTTTTCCTGTGCTTCGGCGCGGCCCGCCCTAGCTTTGCTCGGCTTTCGACTTGCTTCGCGAGCCCACGCACCAAACATAACCCCGCCAACCCATCAAGAAACGATGCCCAGAAGAATTGCCTCGATCGGGGAAGTGGGCAGCACGCAAAGGAAAGGTCCACCAGTGGAGGCCTCTTGGGGCGTTTTGGGGGCTTCTTGGCGGTCCCGGGCGCCTCTTAGAGCGTCTTGGGTGCCTCGGAGAGCTACATGGGGTCTTTGGGGATATTTTGGGGGCCTCCTGTAGGCCTCTTGGGCGCCTGTTGGGGCCTCCTGGGGCCTCCTGGGCGCCTCTCGGGGCCTACCTGAAACGCACCTGGGAGCCTTGGGGCGCTCTTGGTGCCATTTGGAGGACGTCGATCAAACAAGAGGGGAGCATAAGTTAGCGTTGCCCCTCGGGGGCTCAAGAAATCGCTTCTTGGGGCGCTTTCGGGGCGCTCTTGGAGCGCTCTTGGGCGCTCTTGGAGCCGTCATGGGGCTCTCTTGAGCCTCTCTTGGGGCCCTGTTGGGCCATCTTGGAGCCGTCTTGACGCCTCGGATGGCCATCGGGAGCGAAAAAGCGAGAACTCCAACAACATTGGCTTTCCCGTCCCAAGGTTTTGGAAGGATGTTGGCCTCTTCGTGGCCTCCTGGGGGGGCTTTGTGGCCACTTGGAGCCTTCTTGGAACGGTCTTGGGGCCTCTTGGAGCATCGTTGTAACCATATTGAGGCATTTTGGGGTCTCTTGAGCCATCTTGGAGGTCATCTTGGGATCTCCCAGGCGCTTTAGGAGTCATCATAATCAGTGCTCCCCCCCCCCTGGAGGCCAAATATTGACCAAAACCCGTGTGAAATCAATGGTTCCGGCATTCTCGCCGAGGCCTCTTGGAGCGTTTTGGGTGCCTCTGGGGGGCCTCTGAAGGCCTCTTGGGGATCTTTTGGGAGCCTTTTCGGGGCATCCAGGGGGCCTTTTGGGGGCCTCTTGGGGCCTCCTGGCCACATCTTGGGGCTCCTTGGGGCACCCTTGGGAACCTTGGGGGCGCTTTTGGGGCCATCTCTGAGGACATCGATCAAAGAAGGGGGGTCCTGAATTAGCTCCCCCTTTCCAGGCAGCCAAAAAGTGGCTAACACCTTTGTAAAACCAACGAGTTTGGCTTCCTCGCAGAGGCCGTGTTCAAGGCTCCAACTACCTGCGGACCCCCCGCGTCCAGGTCCAGGGGAGGCGGTAGGGGGAGGGGTCAAGACACCCTCCAGATAGCAAGCCGTCTAGCTCACCCCCACCCGCCCTCCCAACACATAAGTATCACCCGAGCCTCAGCATGTTCCGCGGTCGTCTTTTGGTGGGCAGCTGTTGGGAACCAAAAAAAAAAAAACAGCCCATGTGCGCGACGCTGGGGCGAGGTGCGCCACGCGTGCCAGTCGCGCCACGCGCGCCAGGCGCCCCTTGGGCCCGAGCGTGCCAGGCACGCCTAGTGCGCCAGATGCTCCTTCCAGCCGCGCCAGGTGCGCCACGTCCGGGGCACGTGCAGAGTGTGTCAGCTGCGCCTGCACACGTGACAACACACATCGGGAAACATGCCGGCCCCCACCATCAATGCTGACAGCCAGTGTCCATCATTGCGTCTTGTGGGCTTGCGCGCAGCAGGCCATACGCCACCACCTCCGACGTCCCTTTCAAAAACCACCTGGCAATGATCGCGGGGTGGCCGCGCACTATCGATTTAGCCGCGAGGTGCATTTTGTATTATGTGTTTGTCTGGGATGGTAGCCAATCGCGCAGCAGGCAATATGCTGACACCCCCGCCGTCCTTGTCGAAAAGCAGCACAAAGTGCCCGCGGGCTTCACAAACATGATTCCATACTTTGCCCCAAAGTGTAGCGTGAATTGTTTTTGACAGGGATGGTAGGGGGGGCCCGCATCGGGTTGGTTGTGCCTGCTCCGAATTTTGGGGCAAAATGCGTCTTGTATTGTTTTTTGTCAGGGAGTGTGGGGGGGGTCATGGTGTGCACATGGTTCCGGGTTGGCTGCCGGCAGGGTGGGGGAGGGGTGTTTATACATCGGGAACAGTGGTAAGCCCTTCCCCGAAGGGGAAGGAGGGGATCGGAAGAAACTCCCTAGACCACCTACGCTCTAAAGGGTTGGTGGGATTCAAAATTCGGTTTCTACAATGTTCCGAACCATGATGCGGTGTTGGGTCCTCGTTTTGAAGAGACAGCGCCCCGCGTTCCTCCTCTCCTCTCATTTCTTCCTCCTCCTCCTCCTCCTCCTCCTCCTCCTCCTCCTCCTCATCATCATCATCATCCTTCTCTTCCTCCTCCTTGCCCCTGCCCTCCGCGCATGTTTCTGTTTCGGCACAACCAGTACAGCGCCTCGTGGCCCCCATGGGGAGCTCCACCGAAGGCCCCAGTGCCAGGGCCCGCATGCCGCCACCTCGCCACTCCGATACACCACCCACACGTTTCGCAGCCCCGCGGGGAACTCCACCAATGGCCCCAGTGGCAGGGCCCGCATGCTGTCACTTCGCAACTTCGGCACACCCGTCACACGTTTCGTGGCTCCACAGGGAGCTCCACCGAAGGCCCCAGCGGCTGCGTTCGCATGCGGTTCCCCCCTTTTTTCGGCGAGCCCTCACACATCGCGTGGCCCCACAGGGAACTCCACCGACGGCCCCAGTTGCAACGCCCGCATGCGGATCCATCCAACATTTTGGCGCGTCCCTTGCACGTTTCGTGGCCTGAGGCGGAACCGCCGAAGGCCGCAGCGGCTGGGTCCGCATCTCGGTGCCGCCCCATTTCCGCACACCCTTCGCACGCTTCGTGGCCCCGTAGGGAGCTCCACCGAAAACTCCAGTGGAAAAGGCCGCCTGCCGCCGACTGGCCACTTTGGCACACTCCTCACACGCTTCGTGGCCGCATAGGAAGATTCACCGAAGATGGTGCTCTCAAGTGCGGTACGTATCACTGCTTATTGGGTCCTTCGCCAGGCGAAATGTTGGTTCTAGCTTCCAGAAATTAAGTTCTATGTGGCGTTCTGGTTCCATTTGGTTCAGACGTGAGATTCACTATCGTGTTCTAGGTCGATTTCTGTCCACAAATTCTTCTCATTTCAATCTCCACAGGGGAAGTTGCGTTCTCTGGCTCGACTTCAGCCCTCGCAGATCCAGACATCTGACTCACTCTGGTGATCTGGCTCGATGTGGTCCTGTAATGAGGCTCGCTGTGGTATACTGGCTCGACGTTACTTTTTCCAGGTTTAGAAATTAGACGAACGATGTGCTCTGGCTCGTTTTGGTCCAAAAGTGGAGCTGGCTATTGCCGTCTTGGCCCGGTTCCAGTTCACATCTTCCTCCCACCATAATCTCCACCGATGGGGGCCGAGTGTTCTGGCCTGGTTTCAGCCTTCGCGGATCCAAACCTGAGACTCAGTATAAATTGCTGGCTAGATTCCAGCTGTCGCACGTCCTGGCAGGGACATCGGTTTCTCACCGTTCCAGCTGTCCGAGGTCCAGACCGTGTGGCAGGGCCATCGGCTTCTCAGCATTCCAGCAGCCAGGAGTGGGTTCGCTCGGTCCATGATGTTGTTACAAACGCGTTCATGCCACCATGTCGACATCACGAACGTCACCCTCATCAGCAACTTCATATTCCGTGATCGTATCGGCAAAATGATGAGGTCGTTCTCGTAAGCGGGCGTTTCAGGCGTCTATCCGCCTCCACGCCTTGGCCGTTATGAGGGTGCTTCGTTGGGGTAAGCTGTCTTCTGGACCATAGCGCGCGTTACGCCCCCCTCCCATAACGTAGTGTTCCCCCCGAGTGCGTCCCCTGCACTGCCGCACTGCGTCCATCACCGTAGTCTGCGAGGACGGATCCGCACGGCGGGGGGGGACGTTACGTTATGCTCCCCCCGCCCCGCCCCATAACGCCCGCTGTCGCCGCGACTGTCCGGGTGCCAGATGGCCTGGCCCATGCCGCCACCGTGCCTGAATTGTGGGCCAGGGTCCTCAACGATGCTTCGCGGGGTGTGGTCGGAGCGCTCTCGGGGGCCTCCTGTGGGCAGTTTGGGGCCTCTTGGGGGCCTCTTAGCTCTTGGGAGGCTCTTGGGGCTTCATGGGGGGCTCCTTGACGGTCCTGGGAACCCCCTAGGGGCCTTTTGGGGCCTCTTGGGGACCCCTCGGGGCAGAGGGCTCGAACTGTCCGTTCGGGTCCCCCGTCTGGCTCCCCTCTTGGAGCCGTCTTGGGGGCTCCTTGGGCTCTCTTGGAGGCCTCGAAGGCCGTCTAGGGGCCCTCTTGAGCCATTTTGGGGCTCCATTGGATGCCTTTTAGGCTGTTTTGGTACAATTTTGGGCGCCCTCGAGGCCGTCTTGGAGCGTCGGGAAGCGAAAAAGGCGAGAACGCCCAAATTCTTCCAAGACCGACGGAAAGTACACGAGTTATGTCTCCCAGGGCCCTCTTGGGTGGTGGCCTCTTGGAGGCTTCTTCGGGGCGTCCTAGAGACTGCTTGGGCCGTCTGGAGGCCATCTCGGGCATCTTGGGGCGATTTTTCGGCGGCTCGAGGACCTCTTGGACCATCTTCTGTCGATGGCCCGTCTTGGGGCCCTCTTGGGGCCCAGACGGTCACGCGGGGAGACGTCGGGAACCCTGGGGGGCACGCGCCTAAGTCACGAAGACTTGGCAATCTGGGGTCCAGTCGCCTAAGAGACTCTTCAGGAGTGGGGGCTGAGGTTTGGAGGACGAGGCAAAGGACCCGGGAGCACGCCCGCTCCCTGTCCGAGGGCACGGTGGCAGAGTGGGACCCCGAATGGCAGGACGACAACGGCGACGCCGCGGACGGGTTCGCGCTGGCCGACCTGGCCACCCTGAGCCTGGCAGGCGGGAGCGGCCGCGGGGCCGGCTGGCCAGCCAGCACGGGTGCGCCCCCCCCCCCCCCCCCTTCGGAGGGTCCACTTCCTGCCGCCCCGAGCTCCCCGGCCTCTCGGAAATCGAAAATCGAAAAAGACAGGGAGGATCGAGGACGAGGGAGGGTTCAAGATCGAGGAGGTTTTGAACGGTCCGGGACGTCTTGGGGAGCCCCTGGGGGCCCAGGAAGGCAAATTTCCTGAAGGAATCGGCGACCATCCCCGCCACCCCGAGTCGGGCGTTTGGTAAAGGGGGAGCGATGGATGAGGCGTTCCAGAAAGGGCGCGCCGTCGAGGCTCGAAGGAATTCATATCCTTGCCTCGGCGGAAGGCTGGCGGAAGCCCGCTGAAGTAAAACGAGGGCCGCTCCGCCAGTGGACGCCGGCGGAAATCTAAATCTGCTTCCCAAGAGATTGCAATGTGTCTTGGTTCAGAGTTCTTTGAACCCGCCAAATTGGAGGGTGAAGGGAGGTGTATATCTTGCTTCCCACCTGGAAGGTACTGGATGCTAGATTACAGCATCCGTTGATACGACGCTCAGATGTTGACAGGTTGCTAACATGTTACCTCTAGTATAGCAAACAGACACACATACCATTATCAGACACGACAGACATTCTAAATGGTCCTAAATCTATGGCTCTAGACAACTTCGCGTACACTTACCATGCATATCGTGCAGGAACGAGAAAGGCAGGATTCGGTGATAACGAGGAAATTGGAACGGACAGCGCAAACTCGAGGAGGAGGAGGAGGAGGGGGAGGAGGAAACAGGATAATGTCCCGTTGGGCGTTTTCCAGGCCGAAAAGCGCATGCGTTCTTTACTTCCTCCTGTTGCCCCCTCCTTCTCCTCATCCTCCGCTGCGTCCGTCGAGCCGCGTCTGAACTACTCTGTTTCCCGCTTCCTGCCGCAGCGCCTTCGGGCGTCCCCCGTCCACCTGCGCGCGCAGGCCGCCGCGCGCGGCCGCCTGGCCGACGCGTGCGTGGGGCCCCCCGGACGCTACGGGGGGACCTTTTCCATAGAGGAGAAGAAGAGGGGGGGGGCCCAGACCATGACACCCGCCATCCTGGGGCCCAGCGAGGGTCTCGTGTCCTTGAGGGTGCTTATCTGTCCTAGGCCCGAACGTGCCCCAACGATGCGAGGGGCTGGGAGCGACGGGGCTGCTGGCGACGGGAACCCTGGTAAGGGGGGGAGAGCAAGTGCCCGATCTTGAGCGCGCACCGCGGCCCTGGTGCCGATCGGCCCAGACCCGCCCTGCACCCTGTCACAGGGCACGCGGGGGACGCTCGTCGAGGACTGCCGGCTCGGGGCTCGGGGGCACATCCTCGGGAGACTCTTCATGGGGGGGGATCCTATGGGGGTATGGGATCCCAGGGGGGGATCCCATAGGATCCCCTGGGGATCCCATGGAGAGTCTCCCGACATCCGGGGTCCGGCGCCGCCACCCGCCGAGGAGGCGTGGCAGGCGTCGGGCGGGGCGCCATCCGGAGGGAGGGCGGGGATCTCGCCGGCAGGCTCCTGCCGGGGGCCGCCCGCTGCCTCCCCCGGGCGACGGCCTGCCGGCGCCTCGGGGCCGCAGCCGCCGCCCCGGGCCTCCGCGCGGGTGCGGGGCAGAAGTCGGTGGTCCCCAAACGTGGTGAGTTTTGGGCGATTGGGGTACCTGGCTGGCCCAGGAAACGGCGAACCTGGGCGATTGGGGTAACTGGTTGGTAATGGTTTTCGAGCGCTGGCTGGCCCAGGAAGCGCAGAGCCTCGTGGCGACCGCGCGTGCCCAAACGCGGTGGTGACCCAGAGTTATTTTTGGGGGGGGATCGGGGTCACCACCGGGTGTCTCACCACCTGGTTTGGAGACCACCAAAGAGGCCCGCGCGGGGGCCTGCGGGGACCGAGGCGAGGACTTCGTGGGCCAGGCCAACGCAGCATGGGGCCGACCCCCGGGAAGAACTGCGAGGCGTGGTTGCGGGGAGTGCGTGAAGGGCGCGGCAGAGGGGCCCCCCAGCCCAGCACGGTCGGAGGCAGAGGAGCGCGCGGCAGGAGCGGCATCCCCAGGGCGGATGCCTCAGGAGCTTCAGGCGGGCACGGACTGGGCGGTGAGCCTCCGCATGTCTAAGATGCACCGGATCATGCGGGAGGAGAAGGAGAAGGAGGAGGAGGAGGGGGAGGAGGAGGAGGAGGAGGACGAGGAGGAGGAGGAGGAGGAGGAGGAGGAGGGGGGGGAGGAGGAGGAGGAGGAGAAGGGGAGGAGGAGGAGGAGGAGGAGGAGGAGGAGGAGGAGGAGGAGGAGGAGGAAGCCGCGCGAACAGCAAAGGGACGCCCACTCGCCCAAGAAGCCAGGGACCACCCGCCTCCTCCAGGCCCCAGTGCAAGGCATTCGAACGCCCAGCCACAGATCGGAGGAGGGAGAGTGCGAAGAACTCAAGGACCAGTACTTGCTGGGAAACCTCGCCATAGGGACCCACAACACCTACGCCACGGGATGAAAGCAGTAGGTGGAGGGCCGACGGGATGATGGTGCATGTGGTGCATGTGGCGCATTGTCAAGGCCGGGCGGAGGGAACGGTGAGAAAGAAGTCGATGGCGAGCAGGCGTTTCCACATCTTTGCTGGGTACCTGGACCCCTTGGAGTTGCCCCTTCGGCTCTGGCTCACGCTCAGCGGGATCAAGCGCCTCAGCGTGAAGCCAAACTGGAAGTACCCAGTCACACACAGGGACGTTGGGGGACGTCGCGAGGTCGGCTGCAATCTCGATTGTCTTCTTTTTCATGCCCAAGGCGTTGGAGTAGGAAAGCCATGGGCCACCAACAGGGTCCTCTACGGCAGGGGCGTCACCCCGAAGGGTGGCGAAGGCGAGGCCCATCTCAGCTTCGGGGGTGCGGACGAGGTTGTAATCTTCATAGAGGGAAGCACGATGGACCACTACAACTTCGGCTGCTGCCGCACTTAGGTACTTCACCACTGGAAGCCTCCTGTGCCTGGTCAGAGCACTGGAATAACTGGAACGGCTGGTCCCCAGCGCTGGATGTCTGAAGGTCACCTCCCACTTTTCTCAGACGAGGACGGGAAACTGATTCGCCAGTAAGACATCAAAGTTCTCCTGGATGAAGCGGCGGTATCGGCGGGAATTCACCCGTCCCGCATCGGGAGCCGCTCGCTCTGGATCGGGGGCGGCTGCCCCTATGCACCACGCGGTCCCGGATCTAGAGAGAATCGCTCCAGGAGCTGGAAGCCGAACGCCTGCAACGCTTGTATCTGGGAGGCCCACGAACCCCAGAGGGGGCCGGCGGAGGCGATGTCCGCCCACAAACTACCAGCTCGCCAGCGGCAGCACCAACCGGACGAGCCAGGATAGTAGAGACAAGGGGCCCGCAAGCTGCGCGTCACTGGCGCCCCCGCCACGGAGCACAACGCCCTCCGGCGCCGGCGGTTGCGCTCCCGGGGCGCATCTCGGCGCTTCCCCTATCTGGGATGTTAACAATCAGTTCTAAATTTACGAACTTAGACTTACGATCCAGACGACAGAAGTAAGAACTTATGCATGCCAACGAGATCAACCGTTGATCGTATATGAAATCAGATGATATGGCTGGTATTTTCGAACGCACTGTTTTTTTCTTTTGTCGGGCTGCGCTCGGTTTTCGAACTTGTGCAACTGTTTGGGATGAGAATTGACGACCTGCGCAGCCTTTTTGATTGGGCACCGACGAGCTGCGCAACCTTTTCCGCTTCGTCTGGCTTTTTTGGAAGAGAATTGACGACTTGTGCAGTTTTTGATTTGGGAACCGACAAGCTGTGCAACCTTTCTCGTTTTTGTTTTGTCGGGCCGGGCTCGGTTTTCGAAGTTGTGCAATTGTTTTGAGAGGGAATTGACGACTTGTGCAGCTTTTTGATTGGGAACCGACGAGTTGTGCAAGTTGGTTCGTTTTGTCGGCCCGGGCTCGGTTTTCGAAGTTGTGCAACTTTTTACAGAGAGACTTGACGACTTGTGCAATTTTTTTGATGGGGAACCGACGGGTTGTACAACCTGTTCCGTTTTGTCGGGTCGGTCTCGGTTTTCGAACTTGTGCAAGTTTCTTGAAAGAGAATTGACGACTTGTGGAGCTTGTTTGATTGGGAACCGACAGGTTGTGCAACGTTTTCCGTTTTGTCGGGAAAGGTTGCACAACCTGTCGGTTCCCAATCAAAAAAGCTGCACATGGCGTCAGTTCATTTCCCCAAAAAACTGCACAACTTCGACATCGAGCCCAGCCCGACAAAACAAAAAAGGTTGCACGACCCGTCGGATCCCAATCAAAAAAGTTACACAAGTCGTCGATTCTCTGTCAAAAAAGCTGCGCAACTTCGAAAACCGAGCCCGGCCCGACAAAACGAAAAAGGTTGCACAACCCGTCGGTTCCCAATCAAAAAAGCTACACAAGTCGTCAATTCTCTATCAAAAACGCTGCACAACTTCGAAATCCGAGCCCAGCCCGACAAAACGAAAAAGGTTGCACAGACCGTCGGTGCCCAATCAAAAAAGTTACACAAGTCGTCGATTCTCTGTCAAAAAAGCTGCGCCACTTCGAAAACCGAGCCCGGCCCGACAAAACGAAAAAGGTTGCACAACCCGTCGGTTCCCAATCAAAAAAGCTGCACAAGTCGTCAATTCTTTATCAAAAACGCTGCACAACTTCGAAATCCGAGCCCAGCCCGACAAAACGAAAAAGGTTGCACAGACCGTCGGTGCCCAATCAAAAAGCTGCACAAGTCGTCAATTCTGTTTCAGAAAAGCTGCACAAGTTCGAAAACCGATCCTGGCCCGACAAAACGGACAAGGTTGCACAAGTCGTCGATTCCTCACCAAAAATGTTGCACAAGTCGTCAATTCTCTGCCAAAAAAGCTGCACAAGTTCGAAATTTGGTCCTGGCCCCAAAAAATGGAAAAGGTTGCACAAGTCGTCGATTCCTCATCCAAAAAGTTTCACAAGTCGTCAATT